TCCTCCTCTGATTTGAACTCCTCTTCCTCGTTGGCCTGCTCCTCTTCCTCCTCTGATTTGAACTCCTCTTCCTCGTTGGCCTGCTCCTCTTCTTCCATGGCCAGCTCTTCTCCCTCCTCTGACTCGAATTCCTCTTCCTCTGACTCTGCCTTCATCCATTGTGTTTGTTTGGAATCTTCAGCAAACTGTGCACTCTGAACTTGCTTTTGTACATGTGGTCACAGCATTAGCAACAAGTGTCTTCAATTTGGAGTCGTTGTGTGTAATGAATGACGCCAGGTGTGTTCATTGTGTTCAAATATTGCTGACTGTGGCAAGCATTTTGCACCACATGAGCTTTCATTTGAGAATATGAGCAGAGTTCTTTTGCAACTTGTGTTTTAGCAATGAAAAATGTGTTAAGATTTATGAGAATGGAGGATTGTGTTTTGTGAATTGTGTCTTCATGTGAAATGTGTTTATGATATTGGAAAATGATGGCTAGATTTAGTAAATGTGTTTAGACAACTGGTCATTTGGTTTAGAGGATTGGCTTTTGTGTTTTAGCATTTGAGAAAAACTGTAATACTTCCCCATCAAAACATAATCAGAAGTATAGAAATAAGTTAGAATGCTAGCAGTTTAGTTATGAGTTATATCCACTGATAGACCAAAACCACCACCACCAACAAAAGTGGTTTAATGAGAAGTAGTCAACAGCAGAGCTGTATAGGGAGTGTTGCACATGTCAACAGTTGTATAAAGAATTGGCTCTGCCAGACTGGGGAGGAAAGGGGTGAAATGGTAAGTCACAAACGCAGCCACATCTTTGTGAAACATAACAGCTATTGTAGTTTGTCTTAAGTTAAAGTGCTGGCTCTCACGTCAGTTGAAAGTACTATAACTTAAGAATTTACAGAATGTTTTTGTTGTCCACACAAAGGTGAAAAGTTGCAGTTTGTTTTCCGGAATATCAACCCTTCAGATGAGAACAGTGCCTACGTTGTCACAATGGGGGTTAAAGAAGATGGATGCTACCAGAGTAAGTTTAAAAATCAAAAACAGCCCTGTCAGAAAATAATTTTAAAAAAATTAGTGAACTATGAATTGATCCTACTAAAAGTATTGTTTGTGCATCTGATGTACTTGTTCCTCTGTGCTACAGAACTCTGTTGACCAAAAAACGTTTTAAAAACACATAAACGTGCCCTACTGTTCTCCTGGCTGGCATCTCCCTTCATTTCCATCAATACTAATACCACTGTAGTGAGAGTCAAAACTAGACAGCCTGGCTATTTCAGGATGTGATTTGGCCATAAATATAATTAAATACATATAACTATATTTGTGACCGGTTTTGAAATAATGAACTTTTCAGTAGGATCACCTGGGTGTGGGGATGAGTGTTCCAGAGACGACTGTAGCCATCTTTCCACTGCAGCCAGAGATTGTCCTGTACTCTGGCCAGCTATTGGCCAGGGTTGCCTGGCCCCGATACACGTTTGCTGAGTATCCTGACATCTTCTGCAAGACATCGTTTTCTCTGCCAGTTAGAATATAGTGACACTCTGGGACCTGCTGCTCGACAGGGCCATATATCACGCTTTTCAGCATGGGTTTGATATAGTTCAGTTCTAAGACAGTTGAAACACAATCCCCAGTACTATATGGGTATGTGACAGCTCCTTGTGGCAGTAGAAAGACACTAATGCTTTTTTTTTTGGTCTTTTCCAAGGATGTGTTTACAATATAAACATCAAATTTTACCAAACCTATACTACAATAAGTATTACGGATGACTTCAGTAAGATTTACACAAGTCTCCCATTTCTGCAGTTGTGTCGAGTGACCCGGAGCTGCAGTGTTTGCCGGTGTTGGAAAGGCGACTTCAGGAGACCAACAACTTACCAGCATTCCTGGCAAATGTCAGGAGGGAGTTCATCTCCCAGGCACGTGGCTAAGGGCGGGAAGCTATAGCATAAAGATTTATGCTGCTGTTTATTCAACACAAGGAATGGTTAAAACCGAACAAAGATATTGGCCTTTGCTCTATTAAAGTATATTTTTATATTGATCTGTTGATCACATCTGAAATTAAAGAGCATAAGAGTAAAAATGAAAAGAAGCACGTTAATTATTCTGCATCATTCAGATGATAGTGCAACAAGGTAGCACTTTTCAGAGGCCAGTACAGACAAACAGAGATCTCACCACATGGAAACACTGATGGAAACGATGTTTTCAATGATCCAAAGCATCTTGTCCTTTTCACATACTTCCTATGAATTATGTATCTGCAAAGGTTTATGGTGCATTGTGCTCAGCTTCATCCCTCTTCCTCTGTGGATCCCACATTGTTTTCCATATTCTTAAATGTTCCCTCTGTTCAGGTACTCTACTGTTCTCTTTCAAAAATGCCTTAGTTCAAACCCTTAAAAAAAATAAACGGCAGCAATTGATCCCCATGATTTTAACAATTTGAGTCCAATATCTACAGTAAACTTTCATTCTCAGCCAAATTTGACAAAATGGTTGTGAGTCACCTCTTAGAATTTAAAAGTGACAAAACTGTACGTGAATGTTTCCAGTCTGGTTTTAGTTTTCATCCTGTGTGTGCCGTCCTGCTCACCGAGGTCCATAAATGCCCAAGTCTAGACTGAAAACAAGGTATTTGCAGTCTGAGTTCCCAATCTGTGGAACAAGCTCCCTGATTGGCTGAGACTATCTTGCCTTGTAAAACACATTTTTACAGACTGGCCTTCGTGTGATTTTATTTTTTAATCTGTGTATTTATTCTCCTTTAAATGGTGTTTTTATTTTGTCATATAGTGTATGTTTTTATAGCTTGACATGTCCCCTGTTATTTTTGTTTAAAGCATTTTGTAAATTCTGTTCTAGAAAGGTGCGTTAAGATATAGTTTATCAGAATTGTTATCCTTAATCAACTCAAATGTAAAGCGGCACAGATTTTAATCTATTCACAACCCTGCAACTATATTAAATATCTGGATTTCTAACTGCGTAATCACTGGTGTTAATTGTATGTCCTGCAGTGTCATGTCATCATTTCTGAGCATGGTCATGTGACAGTTCACTGGAAGCTGCACAGGTGGAATTGTTCCAAAGCCTGGCGTTTGCCATTGAGACCAGGTGATGTAGTGGAAATAGCGACAGGATCTCATTATCTTTATACTCCAATTAAAAAAAAAAAGATGTTTTTGTTAGTGAAGATAAAATAGTTCATATATTGATGTAAATAGTGTTCATTTATTTAATGTTATTTCTCATTTTTAATGTTATGAGTGACAAAAATAGAACATGACTGTCAGTAGATGAACATGTTTTATCAAACAGCCTGCCATTGTTTTTACTAGTTATTTTAAAGACATGAGTGTGATTAGTAAGTAAATACTGTAGCCAGAAGCTTCATTTGTATTTCAGTCTGTATGAAGCTTCCAGTCACTGCCATTACTTCATTTGGCAGTGCAGCAGTTAATAATGTCTTTGATTCATGGTGATTGATATTTTTGCTGTTCATGAGTCAGGTCAGTCAAGCATCAGATGAGTTGATGCCGCTTAACTTGTGCAGCTCCTCCACATATGTTGATGGGAAATGACCTGTCTGCCCGTTAAGTTCACCAAACCACCAACCATTCTCTTCTTTTGTGTAAATGTCTAGAAGGTCTCCTGTGGTGTGCAAACAGACAATTTATTTAAGATATGAATCTTTGCTGTTGTTTTGTAAACTTTTCAGCTGATTTGCCAGTTACCTTCTTTCAAAGTCAGTTCATCATCACGTTCAGGTGTGAAATTGTATAGAGCCTTGCATTTTCCCACAATACACAACTCTGATGTTGTTTGACCTGTAAAGTGTTAATATTTTTTCATTGCTGTGGCGATTAGAAACAAATCCTTGTGCGTGGATGCTCAATATATAAATAAATCTTACCTCGTCTCTTGTCATTGTCTGTGTGAGGCGGAGCTCCATTAACAGCGTCACCACACTCCACAGTGTCTGTTTCATGTGCTGAAGCTGTGGGGGTGACCCTGTTGGCGACGCTGGGTGGAAGCTCCGCAGACTGTTGTGCCACAAACTGAGCTGGTCCTCTGTAAATGATGGAAGCTCTTAGCGACTGCCTGGACCTGAATGGTGTCCTCCTGAGTTTGACTGGACGAGTCAGTTGAACAACACTGTGCTCACAGTCCTTAGAAAGAATAATGGTTTGGGTTAGGTTTTATCTAATTCTCTTTAGAAATGTTTAGGAGGAAAATCAACATGTAAATGGGATTGCACGTTAACCGATAAACTACCAGCTGTTACACACAGGGTGTACCTTCCACCAACCTCAGTCAGTTGTAGCATCAGTATAGCTGTGCTAACTAGTTTACTTCCTAAACTAGTTATTAAGTAGAATAAAGTCAAATTGATAAATGAAATAAATTAAACATGGCTGAAATGTCTAGTTGAGCTGAAATAGTTAATACAGTAGATCAACTAGGCTTACAATTCATTCATTGTTAAAGTCATTTTTCAAGCAGAAATGCTGAACATTACCAGGTTCATCTTTCTGTTGATCAGAAAAATAAGCTATTTGAGAAATCTGCCATGAAAACCAACAGGCCACTACACAGGCGAACCAAAAGTATTTTAGATGATATATGTAGTTGTACCTTATCTTTCCATTTCACAATGTTGTCACTGAATCGGTATAAAGACTTGGGTTTCCCTTCTAATTCACACAGTGATACAGAGAGTTTGTAGTGAGTTGCCTCAAGAAGATCCAGTTTTAGAGTATTCTAGAGGCAACAAGATGACAATAGTGAAAAGTTTCGCAAATGTAACTTTACAGTAAATATCCATCTGTGCATGCTGTCCATTCACTCAACAGTCTATCCTCACACACAGTATAGTGTTTACCTCTTCAAGCTGCTGCTCAGTTTCCTCCAGGTTCTTTAGGTTTGAAAGTGATGAGTTATCAGAGTACACCCTCATCAGTTTCTCAAGTCCTGCAACAAGAATGTTGAAGGTGAACTTTGAAACTAATTGATTAACCTTAATTAGTACAATTTTTTTTACCTCCATGAAGAAATAATGTAACTTTAATGAATTAAAGAATGTATGTGTACTTAACTAACCTTCACAGGCTTTCTTTGTTCTTGTAATGTTGTCCTCCAGTCGCTGGAGTTTGAGTTTGATGGCCTCTCTTCTTCGATCTTTGCCCATCAGTGATTTGTTGTCCTCCTCCTGATGTACCAGAACACAGATTAACGTGGATCTTTCAAATTGCATCAGTAACTTGGTGAAGTATTTCCTGGAAATGTATAAATATAATTCTATTGTTGCTATTGCATCAGTATTAAATCAGATTTACTGTTTTGAGATTGCTATTATATTTTCAAGGTAGACTGGAGTACAATTTGATAACTAAACAATTTATAACAATGAAATGTAAAGAAAAAAAAGCCCTTTGTGTCAGGCCCTGCTTTAAAATGACATGTTTGTATCTGCAGACTGCACATTCCCATTAAAAAACACCCCCTATTGACTGTCTTTGAATGAATCACTGAATGTGATGTGGCCTAGAGAGAAGCTCATCTTCAAAATACAACATTCTCAGAGCATAAAAAGCTTGTGGACTTACAAAGTAATCAGTCAGCAAAAACACAACTTTGTTATCTTCAGCTGTGATGTTGTTTTCTTCCACCAGGACTTGAATGTCTTTATCCATGTCCACCCTATGGACTGACTGTTCTATCTGCCTTTGGCCCTGGAAAAGGTAGAACTATGTCTAAGTGACAATATCCATCATGACTGTTTGTATTCTTGAGCAGGGTGGATGTCGAGACGTCTTACGTGTTTGAGGGTCTGGCCAAAACTGGACATGTGGAGGTTGTATTTGTTCAAAATGTTGCACAGAACTTCAATTCGCTGTTTTTCCAGCTCCTGTATGATCTGAAAAAGCAGAAAGTACATTTCTGTACAGCACATTCAATTCTTATCCATACTCCAGGCCTAGTTACTTACTTTGTGAAGCATGAAATAAACTATAATATATAATAGTCACCTCCTGTTGGACGATTCTAATCTAAACCTGAGACTAAATTAATAGATGCACTGAGGAAAACAAGGTCATCATGGCTGGAAAGACTGTATA